ATATTAAAATATAGTGAGCTTTAACAGTCATTGCCCCTCCCCAGCTCTTCCTGGCTTAAATGTGAAGGTCACAGTGTAAATGTCAATTTCTCAGGGAGCAGTTCCCTGAGCATCCTATACTAGACCACAAGCTCCCACATCTTGTTATTCTCTCTCAGCCCCTTACAATGACTCTCCTCCTAGACCAGTGATGGCGAACCTTTTGAGCTCGGCGTGTCAGCATTTTGAAAAACCCTAACTTAACTCTGGTGCCGTGTCACATATAGAAATTTTTTGATATTTGCAACCATAGTAAAACAAAGATTTATATGTTTGATATTTATTTTATATATTTAAATGCCAGTTAACAAAGAAAAATCAACCAAAAAAATGAGTTCGCGTGTCACCTCTGACACGCGTGTCATAGGTTCACCATCACTGTCCTAGACTGTAAGGTCCTCCTCAGCCAGGGCCTTGTAGATCTGCCTCACCACTGTCTCCCTGCACCCGGCACAGGTCGGCACATGGGAGACACAATGTGTGAATGTACAACAGAGCTACAAATACATTATGGATAAATACACACATTTTACATGAATTTTGAAGATAAACTGAGAATGCGATGATGTCATCATTAGCTGTCTGTCCCTCAGACACGAACCCTGCACTGATGGTAGATGTTCACAACCCCTCTCTGCTCCTAGCAGTGCTTTAGGGAATGTTTGAGAAGTCCTAGACCAGACTATGTCTTTGGTGACAGCCTAGGGGTCTTGTGAAAACACAGTAAATTAGCAAGCAATAAGGTGGTCTATGACTCTAAACAGAGATGTTAAGAGGGACTCCACTTGACAAAATGAACATTTATGTTTCAAATCCTAGATGAAATTTTGTAAGGGGAAGTAGGAATGAATATCCTAAGTTTTATTAACAACATTGTAAGAACTTTTCAAGAGGAAAAGTTTTGCCTTTCATATTAAAAGGAGAGAATGGACAAAAAAAAGTAAAGATGCTTCTGGTTCAACTTTGCAGCAGATGATAAACACCCCCACTTCATAATGACAACAAATACTGAAATAGAGCGGGCAGAAAACAATTCTGCTCAGAATACCCCACTTTGAAGCCTTCTCTCTTTTGTAGATCAGGAGACACCTATGTAGTATTTCTGCATCAATGTGGGAACTGAAATTGGATCTGCTTCAGTTTCTCAAGTGTCTGTCATATCCAGCCTCATGCTTCAGCAGCCTGGTCAGGGTTGCTGGAAAACAGCATTTTTAAACAACAAAATACTAAGAAGCTCAGAAGGTCACTGATTGTGAGGATGAACTTGACAAAGGGAGAACTTGATGAACTCAGGCCTTTACCCACTAAATAAAAGGTCAGTGTATTTTACCAGCTAAAGCAGGGGACTTGACAGGCTACTTTTCATTATGTCAAAAACACACCCACCCAACTGTTAAAATTAGTAAAGAGGTTTCAGCTAATTCTTCTAAAATTGGATTCTCCATTTACATTTTTCTTAAACCGTGGAGACTTTCTGCCAGTACAGGTAGATTCCAAATGTCAAGTAGGTCAGTAATAAAATGCAAAGCTGGAGAGAAACTTTAAAAGAGACATTTAAAAAATGGGCCTTAGCAGAGAACTGACTGGAACACACTGTGAAAAGCTTACTTCAGTTCAGTACATGAATATTAATAGAAAAACCCTGCAGTGTTCATAAATAGTGTGATTTGATGAAATAATTACAAATGCAACTTTAAATTTTAGAACAACTACAAGTGTCTATAATGATATTCTCCCCCCCAAAAGCAAAAATATTTTAAAACCCCGCGGGTTTCCATTGACAAAGCTATTTACCTGAACAAAGAAGAATTCTTTGCTCAAATATCTATCACCTTCTGATTTTTTTACAAATGAAAACTGGGGAGAGAGTGCCAGAGGGAAGGGCAGCAGAGTATTTAAACATTAGGACAGCCATGAGGCCTACATCTTGGTTTAATAATGAAATAGTTTTCAATTTATCATTATTATTAAAAGGAGAGTCGTCAGTCTGGAAAAAAGATGAAGTTAAAGGTTTGTGGGTAAGCAACAGAAGTTCACTGTCAGCCTGTCAAAGGCAACTAACCCCTAATGAACAAACAGTGCGAGAACTGGCAACTCCACACGGCACACGTGTCATCTCAAGTGGTCTGTCTGCCCTCTCACTGAAGTCAGGAAAGAGTAGCAGAGAGACCAGTGCATTCTGAACTCAAACAGGTGAAGCTGTCTGACGAGAGGGCCGAGCTCTCTCATGCAGGGGAGCCAGGCGCTCTCTTACAAAGACTGAGGAGGTCACTGTGCTAGAGGCTGAGGAAGTTCCGATGAGCGTTGCTAGCCTGACATCTGCCACCAAGTTCATAACTAAGTTCATGTGTCATAATGGGTAAGTAGTAAGTATTTCACAGCCAACTGTGAGCATTAACATAATTTTTTCTCTTTTTTAAGTAAACGTATTTGTGTTTGCCTCTGACAAGAGGATTTTTGTCTTTTCATTAATCACCCTCCAAAACAAGTCCACTCCACAATACAAAGTTCAACAATACAAAATACACCCTGCCTTTCCCAAATTGATGTTAACTAAACTTCTTTGCCAAACTGCAGATCCTTCTATTTCATGAGGCCAGACTTAATAAAGGAATAGCAAGGGCTTCTTATTTTAAAAAGCTTTTTGGATGAAGAAAATGGACAGTAATTTATGTAAATGCACCAATCTCAATCAACTTCCCTAGTATGAAAGGAATAAATAATGCAGGTCACTGTTTTTCGGATAATGAGTCCTAACTCTTGGCCAACGATATGGCAAAGACTCTGACGGAAATATCAGGACATGCATACGGAGGTGAACATAAATAAATGTGTGTATGATAAACATGGTTGCTGGGGATAAACACAGAAAACAGGTAGATATCCAATTGGACAGAGATGGCTGGGACAGAGGGATAGCGGTATCTCAGGAAGTTTCATGGTCTATCTGTGACAGCACAATTTCTATTAAGAAGGTTTAAAAAGTTAGTTCTACCTCCTCTTGGATAATGCTATCTTAGACTATAAGAGATCTGTCACAAAATACACTGTTATGTAAAAAAATTCAGGAACAAAACATGAGAAAAAATAAGGACCCTAAAGGAAGATGAATGCTTAATAAATATCTTTAAATATCTGGAGCTCTTTAAATGCTATTCGATTGGCACCTAGAACTCCAAAGTAGCTACTTTCCCCTGGGAAGGGGAGGGTATGTCTCTTCAATCATCCCTAAATGCAAAGAGGTTTGACCCCCATGCAATGGATAAAAGTCACCCAAAAAATGAACAAAAGAGGTGTTTGGAAAAACCAGAACACCATTCATCCCAGCTAACGACTTGTTCATTATGAGTGATGATGGATAAAGACTTCTCATGCTGAGATGAAATCAAGATTTATATGCATTGTTTCCTCTCCCAACTTGTGGGAAGATCATCATCATTTAATTCTATCTCTGCGGCCAGTGATGGGCATCCAGAGAGCTGGTTATCAAACGGCGCAGTCAGCTGGCAAAAGCCGAAACGTGCAGTTGGCACATCTGGACGGAGCCGCCACAGCCGAGGGTGAACAATGACTCCTGGCAAGCATCCAAATTGCTTGCAGACGCTAGCAGGTCTCATCTACAACCGCCCCTACCAGCATCTCTCTCTCTCTCTCTTTTATGAGAATCAGATTTTCATTGCTCCATTCAATTGCTCTCCTCTGCCATTTTTTACAGCTCTTATCGTTCCCCTGGAATATGGCCTTGAGACAGCTCATCCGTGTCCTTCACTGTGTTATCTCTTCTAACTTTTATTAAAACTTCAGCTTTCATCTAAAGATAGCTAATTAAATCTGGAACAGATTATATGCCTCCCCTTAAAAAGAACACAAACCTATTTTCTTCAACCTGAACAATGATGTTTTTCCTTTCCAAAAGATGAAACCAAAGGTGTTTAAGAAGTTTCATTTACTTACAAAGCTAAGATACCTGACATGTCATATGTAGGTTGATTTATATTAAAGATGTCTGTGGTCTGACAAACCTTTTAGCTATTTTTCAAAATAATTCTTTCTCTATATTGGTAATATTTTTTTCCATATCTTTTAAATCCCATAGCTAATGCCATAAGCTTAATTTCTGTATAAAGTTGGGTAATGAGAAATTAGAGATTAACAGACATTTCTGTGAATCAATTGATTTATCTTAAAAAAAATTTTTTTTTACAGTTGTCCTCATTTGGTAAAAATGCATTTTTCCCTTTTATTTCATACTGCAAGCACTACAAATTAAAAGTTTCCTCCACTGAAAATTATGTGAAAACATGAAATTAGAAGAATTACTGCAAATTTAGGACTGATTTGGTTTTCAAGATAGTTTTACACCAACTAATAGTAAGCTCAAGTAGCTTTGTCTTAATCTATCACAAATCATTAATGACAAAGCTTCATAATCAATATGAACACATTCTTCTCACATATGCCACTGACCCAGTACCTTCTTTAGGCTTAGGGGGAACTTAAAAATCACTTTGTTGTCCTAGCCCAAGCATGCGAGTTTGACATGCTTGCGCCCGTTTGGCTCAGTGGATAGAGCGTTGACCTGCGGACTGAAGCGTCCCTGGTTTATTCTGGTCAAGGGCATGTACCTTGGTTGCAGGTTCAATCCCCTGCCCTGGTCAGGGTGCATGTGAGAGGCAACCAATCGATGTGTGTCTCTGTCTCTCCCCCTCCTTTGCACTCTCTCTAAAAAATCAATGGAAAAATATCCTTCGGTGAGGATTAAGCAAAAAAGATAAAAATAAATCACTTTGTTTACTGTAGACCTGCTAACCAAACTTTCTAGCAGCAATATCTGGAACATCTAGAAGCCAGCCATCACACACACATGCACACATGCACATGCAAGCACATGCATGCACAAACCAAGCACTTTTAACCAAGGTTTTAGCTTATATTGCCAGGGTATAATTTAATTATGCTACCTGAAATTTTCTGAGATCCTTTTCTTCTCTTCACTGCCTTCAGCAATATTTCTTTCATAGTGACCTTTGTGTTGTCCACCTGAATAAGGGAGAATCCATGAGCAGCATTTCTGTAGGAAAAGACAAATATTAAATCATCACCAACACTCAACCAGAGGGATGGTATATTGCAGTCTTCACTGTGTTTAAGAAAGTTTTAATAAGTGTAAATCAAAGTGCCAATTATTTAAAAACAGGTTGAAAAGAGCTACTTCTAATAAGAGAGAGACAGAGACAGAGACAGGAAAGCATTCTAGTATGAACAGTCCCAAGTGAAAGAGAGGTCAGAGTTATGGAAGGTTTTTCTAAATTATCTCAAATTGAATCTAATTGGTCTGTGTGGGTCACTCATACCGGCTCCCAAGCCAAATCCTGCAGCAAGGATTGACAAACGATAAACTTGGCTTGTGTCAGTAGATGTCACTGCAGGCAGACACTGCCATCATATTAAAGCTCATGGAGCCTGGGAGGAAAAATGTCATGTATGTGTTTGTGTGTATGGGGGCGGGGGCATCTGACAGCCCAAAGCAATTTAGAATAAGGAAAAGAAAATGCTCTTCTTAACTAGCCAGTAAAAGAAACACCCTATATTTATATATTTTAAAAATATACTCTAGGTACACTTCAGTAGGAAGGTTTTAATCTACCTAGTCCTAAAAGGTCAAACAAAATATTAGCTGAAGCATAAATAATTACAAGGCAAAATACTAACATATCACTACTTGTAAGCCTGTAGCCAGTCGAACCTAAGCGGGGGTGGGGTTCACATCTAGATAGGAAAAAACTGGTAAGGAACAAGTACCCTAAAAACAGAAGCCCACCTTTGTTGAGACACAACTTCGCTAAGACTGTAATTGCAATAACAAGCATCACAGATACTCCTCACTATGCGTGGGCACTGGGACAAAACGGGCCAATTCCAAGAAGCTCGTGTAACAAATGGGACCCGAGTTTCCAACTATGGAACATGGGAATTGCCACAAGGAGTTTGGTTGCATTCCCATTCCCCATAAGAATCTCAAAGGGGCACGTGGCCAAAAAACATGGCAGAACTTCAGATTGACAAGGAATCGGAAACAAAAGCCAAGCCCCAAGCCAAGCCAGGGGAGAGCTTCCTGGTGGTAGGAGAGGCTGGAAGGGGCCTTAGCCCTCGCTTGGACCCAACCAGGTGGCTGGCTTGCCACAGGGGCTAGGGGCTGATCTCCAAACCAAGGACCCAATTTGCTTCCCTAATACAAAGACATCTCCACACCCCTCCTCTCCACACGGCTTGCTGTTTAATCCTTGACATTCCATTTGTTAAAAAGCAAAAGCCGACGCTGGTCTAGCCAGCACGATCATTCATTTTAACTTGGTCAAGTTCTTGCTATCGAACAGCAGGCCTGAGAACTGTCAAGCTAATTTTACCGAACACTCCGTTACTGAATCAGCCTGAGCCATGGCCATTCTTTACCTCAGAAGCTGGACCCCATCCCAGAACAATCTTTAAAAGTTTATTTTACTGATCAAAGCAAAATAAGAAATAGCTCTTTTTTTAAAAACTATATTTAGGGAGTGATGCAGTAAGTGATACTTTGGCAAGAGTACTGAAATGTAAAGTGCCTTGTGCATTTATAAACTTGGGGGTATTTGCTCTGGCGCTAGGCCAGTGTGTGTTTGGAACGAATGCCAATCATCCGCGTTCAGACTTGCTTCCCCTGCTCTCTCCTCAGAAGCCAGGGTGCGCTCCATCTGTGACAATATGTTGGGCGATGGATGAGTAGGGCCTAAAAGGGAACACAAGTTCTCGGGTACTCACACACTGCACTGGGCTGGGTCTCCTGAACTTCCATCCACCTGGGTTCCACCTGAACCATTTTAGATGTGTCTGCTTATAAACTGCTTACATTCTCTCCTAATCTGCCGCTGGCTGATAGCATTATTCCCAACCAATATGTTTATCTTTTTCAGCACAGGCAGACTAAAAGCTCAAAAGGAAGCCTTGTGTTTGGACTAACTTCCATAAATTAAAAGTGTCCTTTTAAAAGATTTTTGAGCGGGGGAAAATCCCTAGTCTGTATTTTTCTGCCATTTTACCAAAACGTACCTGGGTGACAAGGTTAGAGCAAGCCGAGGAAATCCCTGGCACTTATCATCCACAGGCATTACTGATAAATTGTGTGGTGGAGGAATAAAGGATTACCTTCTGTATTTTTTCATTACACTTTTCTTTTGTTACAGAATACATAAATCCATTGTGGCACAATGTAATATGTATCACCATGCTACACCTGCGGACGCTTCCGAGCGGCTGCCATGTCTGTGCAGTCAGGAATGATAAGTGAACCACCCGTGAATGTTAACGATAGTGATCATTCTGAGGTAACTCGGCTCTCCATCTTCCTTTACAGCCTCCGTGCTGAAGCCAGGGTAGCAAGGTTCACGAGAGGAAAATGAAAACAACAGTGAAGGGAAGGGGCACGCACGGCTCAGAATGTGCCTTCTCGGGTGCACGCTATCTTCCTCTGGGGCTCCATTGTGGTAAACACGTGCACATTAAAAGGAGAGCAGGGTTGTGACCCACACACTGCACACTCGGGCAGACCTAATGAAAGTTTCCTCCGGTCAGTCTCGCACTCCACACTTCTCTCCCTTCGGATGGGTGCCAACTTTGGACCCTGTTCCAAGTCTACAGCACTTACGGGGGTAAAATGTTTCTAAAACACAAGAGTACAGAATGGAAGTGGTTCTCAGAACCCATCGAGGTGCAACTGTTAAGTTCCGCTCCCATTTAATAAATGGATAGGGAGACTTGCTACCACAATTTTCAGCTTGACTTCCAAACATTCTGAGTTTTATGCCTCATTTCTTCATATCCAGGATTTTTTATGGGCTTTCTAAAAAGTCTATTGAAATACATCTTTTAAGGCTGCTTTTATTCAATGCTGAGCATTGGGCCTGAGATTGAGAAGACCAGGATCTTAGGGGAAATGCTAGTGGCAGGTGGGAAGGGTGCTAGTCCTGCCTCCCTTCCTCGTGGCGCTGCATTCCAGTCTCGGAGTTGTGACCTGGGATGGTGGAGACTAGCCCGCAGATGGACAGGTGGACGATGGACAGGCAGGCGGGCCGCAAACCCAGAGTCTTGACTCAGAAACTGCTCCTCCTCCTGCTCCTCTTGTGGGTAGACAGCCTGTTTTCTGCCAGCGCAGGGCACCCTAGGGCACTGCCACTGAGAAGCAGCTGCCCTGCCGCAGCTCCCTGGGCTGCCTGCGCTGGGTGTAGACTGAAGCGCCACTTCAGGGAGCTGACTAAACGGCCAGGAGTGCTTCAGTCAATTCAAAGTTAGGTCCTGTCAAGTCTCGTAACCACTGAGAAACGTATGGGCGTTTTAAAAAGAGATTTCTCACTTGAGGAATTCAGCGCTGTCCCAGTGCAAAGCCAGTTACCAGCAGGAAGTGTTTATACCAGCATTAACCTAACACAACAAGCATTTCTCTACCAAGCACTAAACTAGAAGTGATGGGGCACAGAGGGGAAGCAGGGGCACAGGTCTTTATCTAAAAAGCTTATTTATAGGGAGTGAGCTGGAACCAGAACCCAAGTTGGAAGGCAACATATTAGAGGAAACGCATGGGCTGGGAGTTAAATCCCTTTGGTTCCAATCCTGGTTCCATGGCTAACCGAATATTGCCTCAACATGTGGAACCTCAGCTGCATCCGTGAAATGAGGAGGGCACTTCCCTACACAACTGTCAGGAGGATAAAACGGTCAATGAATGCCAAGCACCTGGCACCAAGGCTGGCAAACAGTAAAAGGAGTTCATAAACGTTCGTTTTCTTATGGTTCCCTTTGTCCCAAGTCACCACTCCAAGAGAAGAGGCCCACTTGTTCCCTCTCCCCTAGCCCCTCAGTAGAGATTGCGTATTTGGGAGGATGGATCTGAACCCTCACAGTTTTGTGTTGTTGTTTTCTTGTCTATTTATTTTTTAGCTGATTTTAGGGAGTGGGAGAGAGAAACATGGATCATTTGCTTCCTGCATGCCTCAACCTGGGTATGTGCCCTGACTGGAAATCGAACCCGTGACCTTTCAGTGTATGGACGACACTCCAACCAACTGAGCCACACAGGCCAGGGAAACCCTCACAGCTTTTAAATCGGCAACACAGGGCCATTACAATGTGCAATTTGCTGGGCATGGTGGCAATATGCAGGGCACTATCAGCAAGCAGCCTCTCTCTGGCCCAGGCATCAAAACCCCCTTGAAGCTCAAAGGAGAGCACTCTAGGCTCCACTGTCAAGGTTTTCCTTTTTGAGAGAGGAAACGAGAAGCAGGCGTGTTCCACCTCAGCTTAACTCATTGGCTGTGGATGGGGATGATGGAAGGAAAAATCATGGTGGTACTGCAGAGAAATTCAATGGGACTAAGAGCCTTTTGATCTGAAAAGCGCAAGATATTATTCAACAGTTATAACAATAATAGCAGCAGCTACTATCTGTTGAACAATTACTATGTGCCAGATGCTGATTAAGCTTTAAAAATCTACATTAACTAATGCAGATTTTACTATTATTATATCCATTTTATAAAAACTAAGTCTGGAGGCATTAGGAAATTTACCTGTGGTCACTCATCTATTAAAGACCCTATTTTGGATTCAGAAATCAACAATATGATTCCCAACCCAACTAGCACAGTCCAGTGGGAGAGAAAAAGAAGCAAACCAAGAATTATAGTTCTGTGTGATGAGCGCAAAGATGGAAGCCAGCTCAGAGAAGTGCGAAAGCACAGGGGCACTTAACCCAGCGGGTAGAGGTGAGGGGGTCAGAGAAGCTTCTTAGTGGAGAGGTCTCAAAACACAGTCATCATTTAGCTCTACGACATGCTCAGAAAGATGGTTTACCAGGAGGCAGTGAAGTAAGCTCTACAACGGAGCCTGCTATGGAGTCCTAGCTCTGCCTTCCTTGGGTAAATGATATAATCTCTCTAACTTTCAGTCTCCTCATCTACAAAATATATTAATTTTAGGCTATAAGACTAGTGTGAGGGCTAAATACTTCTAAAGTAGCTAGCACGATACCTGTATATAAAA